AGTATAAAGGATTGTAAGAAAATATTATGAACAACTATATGCCAACAAACTGGACAAGCTGGATGAAATGGATTAATTCCTAGAAATATGTAATCTATTACATATTTTGGAGACATCAGCTAGTCTCCAAAACTAAATCAGGAAGAATCAGAGAATCTGAATAGACAGATTACACCTACTGAAATGAAGCAGTAATCAAAAAACTCCCAACAGGGGGATTTACCAAACATTCTGAGAACTAACAGCTCTCCTTCCCAAACTATTTCAAAAAGTTCAAGAGGAGTGAAGGCTCCCAAGTTCATTTTATTAGGCCAGCATTATCCTAATTCCAAAACCAGATAAAGACATCACTAAAAGAAAATTATAAGCCAATGTCCCTGATGAACATAGATGCTAAAATCCTCAAGAAAATACTAGCAAACTGAATACAATGCTGCATCCAAAGATCACACACCATGATCAAGTGGGATTTGTTCTGGGAATGCACGGTTGGTATAACATTTGCAAATTAATAAATGTGATTTACCAGATAAACAAAAGAAAGGATAAAAAACACACGATCGTATCAATAGACGCAGAAAAAGCATTTGATAAAATCCAGCACCCTTTTATGATAAAAACTCTTAGCAAAGTGGGAATAGAGGGAACATACCTAAACACAACAAAGGCATATGTGACAAACCCACTGCCAGCATCATACTCAGCAGGGAAAAACTACAAGTGTTTCCCTTCAGATTGGGAACAAGACAGGGATGTCTGTTTTTAACTCTCTTATTCAACATAGTACTGGAAGTCCTAACCACAGCAATTAAACAAGAAATAAAAGGCACCCAATTGTAAAAGAAGTAGTAAAATTGCCTTTATTTGCAGAATACATGATACTGCACATAGAAAACTCCAAAGGTTCCACCAAGAAGCTACTGGAACTGCTAAATGAATTCAGCAAAGTAGCAGGATACAAAATTAATATCCAGAAATCAGCTGCATTTTTATATACCAATAGCAAGCTAACAGAAAAGGAAATTAAGAAAACAATCCCATTCACAATAGCTTCAAAGAAATAAAAGACCCAAGAATAAAACCTAACCAAAGATGTAGAAAACCTGTACTTGGAAAATTATAAGACAGTGAAGAAATAAATTGAAGAAAATACAAATAAATGAAAACATGTACCATGTTCATGGATAGGAAGAATTAACATCATTAAAATGTCCATACTACCCAAAGCAACCTGCAGGTTCAATGCAATTCCTATTAAGATTCCAATGATGTATTTCACAGAACTAGAATATTTCAAAAATTTATATGGAACCACAAAAGGCCCCCTCATAGCAACAGCAACCCTGAGAAAAAACGAAGTTGGAGGAATCATGCTACCTAGTATCAAACTATACTATAAGGCCATAGTAACCAAAACAGCATGGTACTGGTATAAAAACAGACACATAGACCAATGGAACAGAATAGGGAGCCCAGAAATAAACCCACGCCATTATAGTCAATTAGTATTCAACAGAGGAAGCAAGCACATACCGTGGGCTAAAGATAGTCAATAAGTGGTGTTGGAAAAATTAGATACATGCAGAAAAATGAAACTAGGCCACCTTCTCATACACAAGAATAAATTCAAAATAAATAAAGTTTAAAAAAAGAATAAATTCAAAATGGATTAAAGACTTAAATGTTAGACCTGAAATCATAAAAATCCTAGAAGAAAACATAGGCAGCAAAATCTGATATAGCTCCTAATATTTTATCAAATATATCTCCTCAGGCAAGAGAAACGAAAGGAAAAATAAAGAAGTGGGATTACATCAACCTAAAGTTTTTGCACAGCGCAGGAAATCATCAACAAAATAAAAACAAGAGGGAGAGTGTATTTGCCTACACACCTGATAAGGGGTTAACATCCAAAATTTATAAAGAACTTAACAAAACTCAATACTAACCCCCCTGAAAAACCCACAATTAAAAAATGGACAAAGGTGCTGAATAGACACTTCTCCAAAGAAGACATGCAGGTGACCAACAGACATATCAACAAACAAGTGCTGGTGAGGATGTGGAGAAAGGGGACCCTTTTGCACTGTTGATGGGAATGCAGATTGGTGCAGCCATGTCGAAAGCAGTATGGAGATACCTCAAAAAATTAAAAATGGACCTGTCCTTTGGCTCAGCAATCCCACTTCTGGGAATATATCTGAAGGAACCCAAAAAACTAATTTGAAAAAACGTAAGCATCCCTATGTTTATCGCAGCATTATTTACAATTGCTAAAATATGGAAGCAGTCCAACTGTCCATAAACAATGATGGGATATTTACACAGTGGACTACTACTCAGATATAAAAAAGAAAATTTTACCCTTTGCAACAGCATGGAGGGATGTGCGGAGAACGTTATGCTAAGTGAGACAGTCAGAGAAAGACAAACACCATATGATTTCACTCATCTGTGGAATAATGAAAGAAACTGAACTAACAGGCAAAATAGAGACAGATTCATAGCAGATGACAGCTAGAGAGGGGAGATTAGGGGGTGGGGATACTAAGCAAAAAGGAAAAAGGACCCATGGACATGGACAACAGTGTGATGGCTGCATGAGGTAAGGGGGTATAAGAGGACTAAATGGTAATGGAAAAAAATACAATAAAAAAATTAATTTAATAAAAAAAGCTTTAAAAAGGTAAAATTAACAATCCACAAAAAAATGGCCCTCTTGCTTGAAAATTTTTCAATATAAGCATTTCCTACTGACTTTCACAATTGGTCATGTTTCAGATTTCCTGTATAAAATTCAGGATATGAGTAGTGAATTTCATTCCAAGAATACATGGAGATACTCAAGAACAAAAGTAACTGGATAAAGACTATGAAGATACAGTTCAGAGAAGTAACAGGTAAGCTACACATACTTAATCTAAAAATGAGAATAACAATTTTTACCTGAAAGGGTGATTATGGATTAACCTTTAAGCCTTAGTCTCTGCTTCTATCTGAAATATTTTTTGTATGTACCTGTGCACTTGAATTGTTTCCTCCTCCTGACACCCAGGCTCAGGGTAACTTGCCCATTTCTCCTGGTACCCTGAGACTTCACAGTATTTAACTCTCCATGACTATAAGTGCCAGTTCCATTACTCGGTTTCTGCCTGCACCACTAGTCGGCCATCTTCAGTGAACCATGTCCACCAAGTCAAGGTGGTATTGCTTCAAGAGCTGGAGCAAGGCTTCATAGGAATATGCACCTGATTAAATAAAGTATGAAGTGTCAGAAATGGTCCATGCACTAGCAACAGGCAGATAAATACTTCTCCAAGTGAAGACTTAATGACTGAATTGTCTGCCTGAATGTCTACTCTAGTAATACTACTATTAAAGAAACCTTGAAAATAGTCCCTCTTCCAACTGACCAGTGAGAGTTCAGTTACGTTGAGAAGGAGAACTGAATGTATTTATCCGGTTCTTGGGTAAATCTTTTATATTTTATACATGGGAGAAAAGCTAGCAAATATTTAATAGGGAAATCTGATTCTTCATCAAGTTCCATGAGAGTACCTGTTATTTTTTCCCACAGACACCAAATGGGGATTCCTACTATGAGTTACTCTGAAATAGATTATCCCCAAGCATACATTTTTGTGGGGGAGACATCAGCTAGTCCCCAAAACTTTCATGACTATTTAACATGTTCAACTGCCTAAGAAAAGGTATCACTAGGCACACTGACAATGAATTTACAAACAACTGCAAAGAGCTCTGCTAGGTGGTGAGAGTAAGTGCAGGAAGGAGAATGCTACTGTTTCAGAATAAAAGGAAAGCTACTTTTGCTTTACTGAAGTCTTAAGCTTTTAAAAAAGCATGTGCTAGTGCCGGAGGAACACCCTAAGGCCAGATAAATAGATTCTACTAATCTCTCCAAGTAACACTGCTAGTAGGAGTGTAAATGAGAAATCCTCTGGGCAGCAGTATTTATTAAGAACTTCAGTTATTTTTTCCTTCTTAAAGTATCTTTTAAAAGTTCTTATCTACTAGACCCATTTTTAGAAAGGTAGCCTAAGAAAGTAAATATACAAAGATTTATATATAATGAAGTTCAATGCACTGGTTATATTTTCTAAAAACAATGGAAAAGTACCTAAATATTTGGGAATTATAAAACATTCCATCTCCTTGACAGAATATTACAGAGTCAGTTGTTTACAAAAAGTTATGCTTTCAGCCCTGGCTGGTGTGGCTCAGTTGACTGAGCCCCGGCCTGCGAACCAAAGGGTTGCCTGTTCAATTCCCAGTTAGGGCACGTGCCTGGGTTGTGGGCCAGGTGCTCGGTAGGGGATGTGCGAGAGGCAACTACGCACTGGTTCTCTTCTCTTCCTCCCTCCCCTCCCCTCTGTGAAAATAAATAAATAAAATATATTTTTTAAAACAGTTATGCTTTCAACAGCTACATAGTGACATACTATGATCCTAATATTGTAAAAAAAAAATGCAGCATAAAAAAATAGAAAAGAAACATTCAATGTAAATAGTGGTAACATCTGGCAATAGAATTTTGAATAATTTTATTTGCTTTTTTTATTCTCTCCTATGTTTTCCAAAATTTCTGCAGTAAGTACAGATTTTTAGAACTGGAAAAAAATTTTCAAAACAACCATCATTATAATAGGCTTATGACTTCTCTGTCTACATAAAGGAGAGTCTGCTGTTGTATGGTCACTTACCTGCCCCATGCTCTGTAATGGGTTTCAGGTAGAGGACATGCACATCTCTGGGACATATGCACACTAACTTACTTTTATAAAATCTTACCAGACATATATCCTGATACACAATACCGTCCGAGTATCACAAAACACATCACTGAAGTATACTAAAATAAGGTTATTTACTTAAAAAATGATACATTGAACATAATCTATATATAGAAAAAAGCAATTAATGGTAAAAAAAAAAAAAGGCACCTTTTAAACCAGATGCTGTACAAAGTACATTTAGTGTGTTACATATCAAAGATGAATTTATATTTTTTGTGTTTTACAATTGCATAATAAAATTGCTTAACCCTTCTTTCAATGTCTATGTACAACTTCCCTAAATAAGCTATAATGGTATTTTCATTTTATACAATATATACTACATTTTAGTTTTTAAATGGGCATGGACAACATTCACTAAAAGGGATTAAATAATTTCACTGAAAGCATAGTACAGAGCATGATCTAAAATGATAATATATTTAATCCTTTGCAAAAGCAGTATTCACATACTTTTCTTCCAGAAGGATCACTACATGTGGCTTCATCTGACGCTGTCCTAGGTTTCATTTGGTCAGTTGCCTGCAGTTTTCTTAACAGCAGTGAAGCAAGAAGGTGAATTGTAAATAATAAATCTGATCCAAGCAAATAATAAAGGTTGATCCTTTTAGACAGTATAAGAGCTCCAACAATCCTTTTAAAACATCAATTAGTATTTCTGCTGTTTAGACGCATTTCAAAACAACATGCATGAAAAGAATGTGACTTCATTTATAAAATCTTCCCTGGAATAAATTTTTTAATTATCAAATTTGATATTGGGCTTAGAGATGCATGAATCTTTTTAAGATTTTATTTATTTTTAGAGAGAGGGGAAGCTAGGGAGAATAGGAGGGTGAAAGAGATTGATGTGACAGAAAAATACTGATCAGTTGTCTCTTGTATGTGACCCAATCAGGGACCAAACCTGCAGCCCAGGCATGTGCCCTGACTCGGAATCAAACCAATGACCTTCTTCTGCGTTGCTGGATGACATCAGATCAACTGAGCCACACTGGTCAGAGTGAGAGGCAAGAGTCTTTAAAAACTGTACTGCATTTTTGTTTTAAACAGAAGCAAAATATCTGGCAGAAAAAAGGTACTATTTTTTTTTTTTTGAGTAAATAATAAATCTGGCACATTCTAGGAAAATAATTTTCAAAAACTGTAAGTCACTTTCTAAGTTTAGAAATACTTCCGGATATTGAAAAGGCAACGTGATATGGTGATTGAAATATCTTTTGTGAAAACATATCCAGAGAAATAGATTCAAATTTTTTAAGAAAATACAGGGAAAGCTTAAAATAAATACATTGAAGACAATCCTAATGAAGCTTTAATTCTAGAGATATCAGCAGAATTTTCTTTAAGGGTTAATTTTTATTATATTCTGGTACCTTTGGTATTTTGTTTTTAATGTTTTATTTATTTAAAGGGATGACTGACAGAAGCCACACAGTTTTAAAATGTTAAATTGTGAAAACAAATAATGGTTTCTAGGATTTTACAAATTAACTTCCTCTTTAAATATTTTGCTTACTGGATAAACTTAGAAATTTAAGAGTAAAAATAAGAAGGAGAGAAGAAAAGTTTCATGCAACTTTTTTTAGATGTTAGGATTTCAAATATGTCATCATCTGCTTTTTAAAAAACACGTTATATGAGAATATATTTATATTGAACAAGTCTCTAACATTCTTAGTATCATTTTTAATCAATTTCATTTAAAAAATCATTATGAAGGGCTTGTACTTATATACTACCTGTAATGTTTTGCGCCCACACACTGTTTTAATGTTTCTAAGAATAGAGTTTACTTTTTCTTAAATATTTTCTTTATTATTAAGATGACAAATGATTCTGAGGATTTGTAGTTTATCAAAAAATAAATCAAGGTTAACCTTAGCCTAAGTGGACCAGAGCTCATAAATCACATGGCAATTTGATTAAAATACCTATAAATCTCACTATAATAAAAGGAGAAAACACTCTGAAAGAGCAAGTTATTGGGTACTACCAGTATGTAAATTTACTTATCTTGATGCACATTTCAAACTTACACTATCTTAGATGAAAATTGTTAAATTTAGTCAAAACTGTTAAAGCAAGTTTTTAATTTGTCAAGTTTGATGTACAAATATATTAGTTTCATCCTTAAGTGCCAAACTTTTGGTAATGAACGGATTCATGCTCTAATTCCCTACCTTTAAAGTGTTTTGACCATGTTATGATACAACCACATTTATTTTATGCTATATTCAAACAAAACTGTCTCACATTCTGCACCCGTGAGTTGTTCTTTCAGTATTAGATATTAACATTTAAAAGGCATTACAGAAGTATAAAAAGTTTAAGTAAATCAGAATTATTTCTTGGAATAACAAGGCATCCATTTGTAGCACTTTCATGAAAACCATCAATACAGGGTAAGTGTAGGTACTGACTAGATACTACCTCTTCATTGTCTTCACAACTTATGGAACAGAAATCATAAAACCAAAAATCTCAAATGATTCAAGTGTCTATGACAGTTGTTGATAAGTTTTTATCAGTTCTGAAATAAAAATCACTAGAGGATCCTTTCATAAAGAAAAACTGAGATGATAGTATCTTAATGAAACTCTGCATTAACAAACTCTTACGTTTGATATACTGTTTTGAATGCATTAGTTCTAAAAATGCATATGTGGTTCTACTTTATAACATTTTCTTCTGATGATCTTCTATTTTTTCCTCCTCAAGGGTGAGTGTGAGGTCCACAAGAGCTGGTTTCTACAGTATGAATGTATGTACATATATAAAATATGGCTGTAAAAGGAGCAGGTGTTTTGCAAATAAAGCATATTACACACAAAATATAAATAACTTCCCTTTTAAAAGTTACTGAGAAGAAAGAATACAGAACATGGTTATAGGCACTTAACATTGCTATCAAATGCAGTAATTAGTAATTTGCTTCAATAAGAAGTGTTTTCTTTACAAGCTTCATGGCATTGGAAGCTCCAACTTTGGATAGGATGCTTTCTATGACAAAAATAATAATTACAAAAAAAAAAAAAGAAAGAAAGAAAGAAAGGAAATTAAAAAGAAAAGATGTTGGTGGGAGAAAAACAGTCAAAATTTCCAGGCACTTTAAACTTTTTTGGCCTCGGTGTCAACTTTTATGTTAAAAACAAAGTTGGTGGAGAAGCTAGCTCACTTTCAAGGTAAATGGCTTTTTATGTGATTGGCTAATCTTGGTCAGGTCATGCATTTTTAAAGCACAAAACCAACAGCCACTAACATCTTCCTGTGTATTCATAAATTATATTTCCTTCTAATTCAAATGGCAGCAGAGAAATCCTGGTGTGCATGTGTGTGTACATACACACCATTATCAAGGTATGACAAACTAATTATCATAAACTAAGCAGTATCCCAAACAGATAATAATCCATAGGCTGTTTACAAAGGTAAAATACAAACAGATTAAATTTTCTCAGGTAGAAGGCAAGTGTGTTATTTCTCCACCTCTGCTGAATTCTTTATCTTCTTAAGGCTTTCACAGAAAGCACCATTTTATGAACAGGTAATTCAGTACCCAGAGTTTGACTGGAGACTTATTAATCAGGATTGAAGTCTTGATGCAGTTCATATAAACCCCATTTAAAAAAGGCATCAAAAACCACATTTAAAGTACAGCTGTCCATATATAAAGAATAAAGTTTTTAGAAGTTCCCAGCTTATATTCTACAGAGTACTGAAAGGTTTAACATTAGCAGCCTGCGAAGGTGTAGTGAGGAAAGGGTCTGACAACCAAGTTAACATCCTTATTCTACTCTAATTCCATCCATTCCTTGGATGAAAACAGTTCTTGCAGTCTAGAATTTTTCCTCCCGACTGCTTAACTGTCAAATCTTTACATCTTGGGATTCAACCATCTTGGCAAGTGTCTTCTTGATTCTCAGAGCTGTAAGTCTGGAGGCTGGATTGTGGGCCCAGCATTCTGACATTAGCTTCAAAACTGCTCGTAGACACTGGAAAATAAACAGAATGTTGTGAGCAGATAAATATCGTAGACAACACTCACCAATCACTTCCTTGGGGGACTGAGTTCCACTTACTTCATCACTGTTCCATCGATTAGACACAATTGGCCGCAAACGTTTGACACACACAACCTCACGCATATCTTCATATGATGGATCATTTGGGACCATGTTGTAATATGGTAACTGGTACTCTTCTACTATCCCTGTAGGGAGAAAACATAGTGAGTACAAAAATGGTGGCTTGACAAAATATATCAATCTATTTAGCATCTCTCTTACTAAACTATGGAACTAAAACTGATTCCTACAAAAAGAAAAAAAAAACAAAAACCAAAGTGGATGATCCACTTTTAATAGTAAATGTATGTTGTTTTTATTTTTTTCTGTCTCATTATTTCCCCTACGTCTATCAGGATCCCCATCGCAGCTGTGGACATACCAATATCCCTAAAAAAAAAAAAAGCAGCAATATGAAACACTCACCCTACATTTTAATTATTTATTCATATAACTGTTTCTACTAATAAATGTAGGCTGATATAAAGCTTTCCCTACATGTTATTGACGGCTCAGTGTGCATTGACTATGTGTGCAAACGATATGCTTTATGCTGAACACCTGCTTTCTAAGAGTTTGGAATTCTGGTACAGAGGGCGCCCACATGACCAGCCTCCAATAAAATCTTTGAGAAATGAGTCTCTAGTAACTTCCCTGGGTGACAGTATTTCACACATTGTCACAACATGTTGGAGGAATTAAGTGCATTCTGTGAGACTTCACTGAAAGAGGACTTTGGAAGCTTGTGTCTGATTTCCTTTGAACTGTGCCCCTTGTATCTTTTCCCTTTGCTGATTTTGCTTTCTATTTTTGCACTCCAATAAATTTTAGCTGTGAAGACAACTACATGCTGAGTCCTGTGAGTCCTAATGAAATTACGGAACCTGGAGTGGTCTAGGGCAGCGGTTCCCAACCTTTTTGGCATGAGACCAGTTTCATGGAAGACAATTTTTCCATGGATAGGGGTGGAGGGGGCGATGCTCAGGCCAGCAAAACTTCGCTTGCAGCCCAGTTCCTACCAGCCTGGTCTGGGGTTGGAGCCCCCTTGTCTTGGGGACCCTTGAGATCTAAATTATATAATAGGAGCTGTTATTTTATGAATGATGAGGATGCAAACATTACCAGAAACACATTCCATAAACTCCTACCTCCTGTGATACAACGACGGGCCATTTCCCAAATGATTAGGCCAAAGCTATAAATGTCTGCCATTATGTAGGGCTGGAAATGGTTTTTATTCAGGCTCTCATCCAGCACTTCTGGAGCCATGTACCGTTTGGTACCCACTCTGGTATTCAAGGGGACGTCAACTTCGTTTGTATCACTGAAACAGAAGACAAATAATGGCCACATTGATGGTTAAGAACAAAATAGTTTTTCTTCCATTTTTGTTAAATTTTGTAAAAGTCAGTCTCTCTCTTTACTTACACACACACACACACACACACACACACACACACACACACACACAAATAAATTATAATCCCCACATTCTTTTAACAGAAATCACTGGGGCCAGGTGTATTTTAAACTTAGCATCTTTTGGATTTTAAAAAATATACCCTTTAAATATATGCTACATATTATAGAATTTCCCCAGCAGAGTCTAGAGTAGTACTCTTAATCAAACTTATTACCATGTCTGCACTGAAAACTAAGTATGAATATTCATATCAAACTGGTTAAAGATAATAGATAATTTGCATGGGTTCAGATCAGGTACTGTCACCAAACAAATGTGGTGCTCAAAGGAAAAAGACAGTACTGAATATAAGAAAATGTAGATAATTATGTCCCATATCAAGCGAATATGAAAAATATTGAGAGGAATTACTTGCTTTCACTATTCTCATGTGATATATTTAATCGGGTTACATTTTCTTCTCTATGGGTCAAACGAACTCAGTTCTGCTGTAAATAATGTTTACATAATCATACTGACAATTAGTAATAAATTACATTTACTGATTTTTCAATTGATGAAGTAAATTTTAGAGTTGGAAGACAGGAATGTTTTTGTTGCTTAGGCTGTCCTAGCCTGGCAGGTTCCAGAAACTACTCTGAAGCACAGATTAATATATTTTATATTTTCTTTTTTTAAAAAAATACTCTATTTACTTTTAGAGAAAGGGATGGAGAAACATCAATGTGTGTTTGCCTCTTGAGTGCCCCCAACTGGGGACCTGGCCTGCAACCCAGGCACGTGCCCCAACTAGAAATCAAACCGGCGACCCTTTGGTTTGCAGGCTGGGGCTCAATCCACTGAGACACACCAGCCAGGGCTATTTTATATTTTCTTATATAGAACCGGATGAATATTTGAGCCATTAACAAACGATACACTGATTTTAAAAAACCCCAATAAACAAACCACCAGGGAAGTTCCAACTTCCAGGAAGTCCCTGGAAGTTCTAACAACCAGGGAAGAAGATTTATTTTTCTAATATTTGTTTTATTATGGACCAGTACTTTCATCTTATGGTCTGAAATGTGAAATGGTTGCTGTATTCTAGAGTTATAACAACATTAAAATGGTTTCTATAGTTTCTAAAAAATACTAGAATTCTGATTGTTTAAACAAGGTATCAAGTGGAGGTGGAGAAATGGCATATTTATATCATTTATGGGAGTGTAAATGACGCATGCTCTCTGAAGGGATAATTTGCAATATATCTCAATTATTACATACATAACCTTTATCTAGCCTTCATCTAAAGAATACATCATGAAGTTCTTGTGTACATGCTCAAAGATTAGTATATATTATTAAATACAATGTTCATTAGAACATTTTTTTAAATAGAGATAAACCATAAGCAACTTTAATGCCCATGAGCTGGATCATGAAAATAAATTATAGTGCATCCATATTTTGAAAAACAGCATCAACACTATTAAAAAGAATGAAGATCTACATAAATGGAAACAGAAGGATGTCTAAGACAGTGAAAACAGGAAATCAAAAATTATGAATCGTAGAATGCAATTTTTATAAACAAAACCCACCAAAACAAACCAACCAAGACAAAAACCCCCAATTACGTATTTATACTACATAAAAACACATTCTTGGAATTCCACTGTCCTGAATACAAATATGCAAACATCTTTTAGAGATTAATATAATTTCAAAAGAGTAGGCAAGGAATCACTTACCTGTTGAATTTAACAGCCAGGCCCAGGTCAGCAATACAACAACATCCATTTTTCTTAATGAGGATGTTTTTGCTCTTTAGGTCTCGGTGGGCAATTGCAGGCTTTCCTTGGGTGCCATAAATTTCTGTATGGAGATGGCACAGACCACAGGCGGCTGAATAAGCCAACTTGAGGAGGGCTCTGGTGTCTAGTGTAGCACATTTCAGGAAATCATAGAGAGATCCATTTTCATGGTAATCAGTGATCAAATAGAGCTGAGTCCAGGAACCTGTACCTTTAATGTCTGCTGCTATAAAACCTGTTCGATTAATAAATTTAAAAGGTTATCAGAGGTGGCTATAGAGAATGATAAATGCTCACTCAGAATCATGAGAATAACTCAGGTATCGTGCCACAGAAAATAAAAAATAAACTTGCCTAACAAAATCTCTTGAACCTGTTCCCAAGATTTTATTTCTGCCATTTATACATATAACTCTGTACTTCAGCAATAAATTTAAAAACTATTAATGACCATCACGAAAATGAGAGTAATATGGCTAAGAAAATCACTTATCATATAATAACCTGGGGGAATGTTATCATCGACATGATTTTCTGAGCATGAAAAACTATTAAGAAGGAGTGTTGGAAAAAGATTCTCAATTTCAACGGAAGAGTGGACACATTAAAATAAAGTTAAAAATGTTCAACTAACTAGCCAATTCCATTTACCATCAATGCCTCCTCACACCTACCTTTTCAATCTGGCCTCCCTTTTCTTCTCCTCTCTCCCTTCAGAAAAAGGACAATAAAAGTTCTGGGTTGAATAGTGTGTCGTTCCCCTCCCCCCCACCCCCCACCTCCAAATTCATGTCCACCTGGTCCCTGCAAATGTGACCTTATTTGGAAACAGGGTCTTTGTATATGTGATAAAATTCAGATGAGGTCAGGTCATACTAGCTTTAGGGTGGGGGGTAATTCAATGACCGGTAGACTTATAAAAGGGAAATTTGGACACAGACACAACAGGGGAAGCCATGTGACAGAGACAGAGATAGCAGTGTTGTCTCCAAGCTGAGGAACATCACTGATTGCTGGCAATCATGAGAAACCAGAAAGAGGCAAGGAGCCATCCTCTCTTTAGAGCCTACAGAAAGCACAACCCTGCTGACAACTTCATTTTAAACTTCAGGCCTCCAAAACTCAAAGAAAATAAATTTCTGTTGTTTTATGTCACCTAGTGTGTGGTAATTTGTTACAATATCCTTAGGAAACTAATATAAATGCTTACTATACTCTTGGCAATGTACTATGCACTGTCTACATTAAAGGGAAGAGAAATAGCAACTGAAGAGAGAAGCTGGAAAAGCTAAATGAATTTATGCACCCCGATCAGATGATGCCTCAATTATTTTGCTAGTGTGTACAATGAGTTGTGGGGTGGGGAGAGGTAGAGACCTACTAAGCACAGAATATTAAGTTACATCATAGGGTTGTGGTAGCTTACTTTACTAAAAGCAAAAGGTATATATAAAGTTACCACAGAAAATTGCTTAAATTACCTATAAAACACTTGGTTTTTGTTATTATATGAGTAAGTCCAATAAGGTGGCATGACTTTGAAACTTACTGCTGTTTCCTCAGTAAGGTAGTAAATAAAGTGGTTGATTGGCATTTAGGACTCTGTTGCATTTAAACTGTTTATTAAACTGGGTTTCCTTTAGCCCAATGCAAGTAAATGAATTCACATATATTTTCAGAGACCATGCGGCAGGCTTCCACCCGAACTCCCCTAACCTTGACAGAATACGAAACTGACTGAAATCAAATGTGTACCTACCAAGTATGTTTTCATGGCGCATTAGCACAGTTTGGTAGATTTCTGTTTCTCGAAACCAGCTAGCTTCTTCAGTAGTAAAGAACACTTTGACGGCCACTTTCTCACCACGCCATTTACCCATCCACACTTCTCCATATCGACCTTTACCAACTTGCCGAACCATCTGAATCTGTTTGGCAATAGTTCGCTGAACCTTGATTAAAAAAAAAAAAAAAATTTTTTTTTTGAGTTCTTAATGAAAAAAACCTATTAAGACAGAAAGTGGTCTGGTATTTCCTCCCATCAAAAAGGATGGTATATATAAGGCTTGTCCAGAAAGTACCCAGCCATGCGCTATGAAAAACAGACATTTATTGAAGAAGATACACAATACAAGAAACATTGTACACAGGACAATGACGTTTCAGCCCCCTTCAAAGTAGATACCCTGGCACCTCACACAGGTTTCTCAACTGCCATCAGCTGACCCTTTGTATTTTCCTGATTCTCACTGACAGTCTGAAATTTCTTCCTTTTCAAAGGTGATTTTAATTTTGGGAAAAGTCAGAAGTTGCAGGGTGCCAAATCTTGGCTGTAGTGGGGCTGAGTCACATGGGTGATTTGATGTTTTACCAAAAAAAGTCTGGAGGAGACATGATACATTCAGTGGGTGCATTGTCATGATGAAGCTGCCAGTCACCAGATGCCCACAGCTACAGCCTTGTGAATCAGCTGAAGCTTTTTGAGGAGGACTGTTCAAGCATAATGCAAATTTGATGCAGATTCATTGTACTACTTGCTTAATCATTTTGAATGTGATGGCTACACAGTACACGTGCTCACTCAACAGTGTCTACTGTCCCCACTGACTAGTAAAGTGGAGTTGTTGTTATTGTTCATGCAGGCCCATTCCAGTTCACTTTCCTTGGCTGCCAGGTTAAATTGATGTTGCGCAAGCCATGCTTGTTATATTAATAATGGCTGGACTTTTTCTGGACAGACCTCATATAACAAACTCTAATGTTAAAAATTAAAATGTATTTAAATAAGATAATACATTCTGAAATCACAAATTAACAGGTTAGTCAATATGGCATACTGCTTGCAAAAAAGTTCTAAATGATTTCCCTCCCTGTACATATGCTTTTGGGTTGTCTCCTTTATAGACTCTGGGCTTGGCCAATGTGACTTGCTTTGGGTAACAGAACAACAGAAAATGTGAAGCAGTGAAGACTTGAAAAGTGTGCACTAGAGCTTACCTTATCTTGCTGTTCTGGGGAGCTCTGTGACCAATGAACAATACCATGGTAACCACTGGCTATGTGCACAAATTATACCATTTAGCTCTAGCTGAGAAAGTCCAGAAAAATACTGCCCAGTAGACCCACAGAATCATGAGAAATAATAAATATTTGTTGCTTCAAGCCACTAAGCTTTGGGGTGGTTTATTATGAAGTAAAATCTAAATGACAATCTTCAACTCATTCTGTAAGATCCTACATGATCTGACCCCTGTCTAAATCTCCAGCCTCATCACTCACTATAGCCACACCATCCGCATCCCTTCCATTTCAACATCTAAAATTTACTCAAGCTCATTCCTGAGTCTTTGTTCATGTGCAGTTTCCTCTTTTTTTAAGTGTTGTTTCTCTTTTGTTCAACATCTTCATAGCACACATATACTTCTCAATTGTTGCACTTACCACAATTATATTTTATTGGGTTGGCCAAAAAGTTCATTAGGTTTTTTCCATAAGAAGGCTCTAGCAGCACTTAGTTGTTTTTAACTTCATTTGAAACAACTTTGTTAGAATGTGACAGCTATCATATCAGTGTGCATTAAAAAAATCAAAATTGGTGAATTTTTGTGTAGCCATTTTAACAATGAAGAGGGAAAAACATACGCAACATTTTCAGCATATTATACTTTATTACTTCGAGAAAGGTAAAAACACAACTGAAACCACAAAAAAAGATTTGTGCAGTGTAGAGTGAAGGTGCTGTGACTGCTGAATGTGCCAAAAGTGGTTTGCCAAGTTTTGTACTGGAGATTTCTCCCTGGACGATGCTCCATGGTTGGGGAGACCAGTTGAAGTTGATAGTGATCAAATCGAGACATTAACTGAGAACAATCAATGTTATATCATGTGGGAGATAGCCAACATATTCAAAATACCCAAATCAATCAAGTTATTGGTAAAAATGAAAAATGTGTCTTTTGTTTTAAGGAAAAAGCTAAACAGACTTTTTGGTCAACCCAGTATTATTATTTATGTATTTATTTATTTGAGGTCTATCCCACCCTGATCACAAAATATAGATATTTACAATATCTGGAGTACAATAGGTGCTTTCATTAATTGCTACCTTAACTGGTCACTCTAAATTTAAAAAGAAAACAAAACAAAAAAACACTAAGGTCCAGGGTGGTATATACTTAAAATGGGCTACATTTTGTGCATACCTAAATTAACTTACTTTATGTATCATTTTATTACAGAATCCATTTTTTTTTCCAGAAAGTCAGGAATTTATGTACAATAAAATTCAAAATTAAGATATAGAACATACCCACCACCCAAAAAGGTTCCTTCTTTCCTCTTCAAAGTTAATCCCTGCCCTACCTCCAGTCTCTGGCACCACTGATCTGTTTTCTATCCTTACGGTTTTACCTTTCTAGAACATCACATAAATGGAAACATGCAGTATGAATAGCCTTTTGTATCTCAGTTCTTTCACTCAGCATAAAATACTTCCAAATTCATCTATGTTGTTGTTGCCTGTATCAGTAGTTTGTTCCTTTTAACTGATGAGTAGTATTCCACTCTATGAATGTGCTACCACTTATTTATCCATTTATTAATTGGCAAACTTTTGCACTGTTTGTAATTTATATCTATTATGAGGAAAGCTGCTATAAATATTCACGTTCAGGTCTGGACATGTTTGTATAGCATAGCTCTTCCATAAATACTTAGCAGAAGGACTGCTTCACTATACAGACAGTATGTGCTTAAGTTTTCAGTCAACTGTCAAACTATTTCCCAAAATGGTTGTATTATTTTGCATTTCAATCAGTAATGTATGAGATTGCCAGGTGACACTCAGTCTTAGCCACATTAGTGGATGTGTAGTAGTATCTTATTGTTCTAGTTTGCATATCCCCAATGATGTTGAGTATCTTTTCATATGCTTACTCGTCATTTTTTTTATCTTCTCTGGCAGTATTTATTTAATCTTCTGTCCACTAAAAAAATGAACTGTCTTACTACTGAGTTGTAAAAGTCCTTTATATAGTATGCAACAATTTTTTAAAAAGATTTTATTTATTTATTTTTAAAGAGAGCGGAAAGGCGGAAGAAAGAAAGGGTAACAACGATGTGGAAGAAATACACTGACTGGTTGCCTCTTGCACACCCCCAACTGGGGACGTACTCTGCAACCCGGACATGTGCCCTGACTGGGGAACAAACCAGTGACCTTTTGATTCGCAGGCTGGTACTCAATCCACTGAGCCACACCAGCCAGGGTTGCAACACAAATTATTTATCAGATCTCCTTTGCCAGTTTGTTACTTGTTTTTTTTTCATTTTCTTAACAACGTCTTCTAAGTAGGAAAAGCCGTAAATTTTGAGAAAGCCCAATTTATCACTTTTAAAAATGATTCATGCCATTTGTGATCTAAGAAACCTACGCTCAACCCAAGGTCACAATGATTAGCTAAAATACTTTCCTTGAAAGGGTTTATACTTTTAAATTTTATATGTAGATCTATGATCCATTTCAAGGTAATTTTGTATATGGAGTGAAGTAAGGGTTGAGATTCACTTTTCAGCAAATGGATGCCCAATTTTTCCTGTACTGTATTTTATAGACTGTTTTTACCCTATTGAGTTATTCAGGCACCCAAATCAATTGATCATCTATGTGCATATCCATTTCCATACTCCTTATTCCTTTCCACTTATACACATATTTATCCTTGTGCCAGCACCACAATGATTACTGTAGCTTTACACTAAGTCTAGAATCAGGTAGGGAATCTTCTTTGTTCTTCTTTTTCAAAATTATTTTGGTTCTTTGGGTCCTTTGTATTTCCATATAAATGTCAGAATCAACTCATCAATTTCTATAAACTTTGCTCTGAACTTGATTTGCACTGGACTGAAACTGTTAAGTCACTTTTAGGAAAACTTATCTTAATACTGAGTCCTATGATTCACAAACAGGATAAACATTTCCACTTAGGGCTGTGTTAACTTGTTTTGGCAATGTTTTCCAATTTTCAGTGTAGAGGTCTTACATAATTTTGGTAAGCTGATTGTAAAATATTTAATTTTTTGACGCTATTTCAAGTGATACAGCTTTTATTAATTCCTAATTGTTTTTTTGCCAGTGTACACAGATTCAATGATTTTTGTACAATGACTTTATGTTCTGTAACCCTGATAAACTCACTTATTGGTTGTCATAGCTTTATGGTATCATTCCTGAGATTTTTTACACAATTTTGTATCATTTTATGCAATACAGACAATCACGTTGTCTGCATACAGACAATTTTACTTTACCTTTCCACTTGAACTGCAGACATTATTTAATTCAGTAAAATTTTAAATTAGAGATATATTTAAACAAATGCAATTAAATAATTAAATATCTATATGAGTATCTGGTGTTTATCAAAGGGTCCTCTCAACTCCTAACGCTGAGTATTTCCTTATATATAACCCTCTTATAATTATTTACAACTCCCTTTAAAATTATTTTTATGAACTGTATTTTGGTGACATGGTATTATTATACTGGGGGAAGTATCCTCTCTATGAAGGTATGGGGGAGAAACTTCGTTTTGATTTCAGAATCAGAATAGTTATGCTTCTCTCCAACAATCAGTTTAACCTGACAGATGTAAGAAATCATATAACTGATTCCATTTCAAAATGGCTTTTAAAAGCAAAACTTGTGAGCTAACTCCAGCACTTATGTAACATTTTATGACCACATTTTCTTTTGTAACCTTACTTATCTATTCTATTTTTCTTGTTTCACAGCTCTTATTTTTTACTAATTTCACCGTGCATTACTGCAGTCATCTTTCTAAATATGAAGGAAAAAATATGCGTACTAATATTCCCTAATCTGTAATAAATATGCTGGTTATCATGAGGACACGTTCTGTATCAACAGACCACTAATGTTTATACGACATTTTATCTTACCAATAAAGGTAGTCCAGATCCACTACCAGAACTTTGTGACTGGTCAATAAGGTCTTTTAATGATTCTCCAACTGGAATAAATGCTTCATCCTGTTCCAAATCACGATTGTAACGACGTCTGCTTGAAATACTCTTGCAATAATGTCTTTTAAAAAAGCAGAAAATAATCTACATTAAAATTCTCAAACTATAAAATTCAAAGGTAAGAAAATCTTGAGGTTGTCAACACCATTATCCTTCCTTCACACAGAATCATATCAAAATTAGTCTTAGGATAGGATAATATATCCTCAGATAAAATAATGTCCAGAAATGCAATTTATGAGGTAAAGTTCTATACATCATGATAAAATGGAAAATGTCCATGATGTGCTCACAGTGGAAAAATAAAGCAAAAAAAAAGCATGTAAAGTGTGATCTAGCTATAAAAAATTTTTAAGCAACATATATTTTGTATGTCTAAAAAGATCAGAAAGGCTATATAGAAAACTGTAAATGAGTTACTTCTGGGGATGTAGGAATGTACGAGGTCCGTCCGGAAAAAGTCCAGTGATTGTTAACATAATGAGAATGGTTTGTGCGACATCAACGTAACCTGGCAGCTAAGGAGAGTGGACTGGAATTGGACATGTGTGAACAATGACAACTTTACTGTTCTAGTTGGGAGGAAGTAAATGCCAGTCAGTGACCATGTGTACTCTGTGGCTGTTGCATTCAAAATGACTGGGCGACTACTGCAGTGAATCTGCATCAAATTTTGCATTAAGCTTGAATAGTCTTCCGCAGAAACTCTTCAGGTGATTCAGAAGGCTGCAGCTGTGGGCAACTGGTGACTGGCAGCTTCATCTAGACAACGTGCCCGCTCACACATCACATCTTGTGCAGAGTTTTTTGGTAAAACATCAGATCACTCAGGTGACTCAGCCTCTCTACAGCCCAGATTTGGCACCCTGCAACTTCTGACTTTTCCCAAAACTAAAAAAATCACCTTTAAAAGGGAAGAGATTTCAGACTGTCAATGAGATTCAGGAAAATACAATGGGGCAGCTGATGGCAATTGAGAAATCTGTGTGAGGTGCCAGGATGCCTACTTTGAAGGGGACTGAGGTGTCATTGTCCTATGTACAATGTTTCTTGTACCATGTATCTTCTTCAATAAATGCCCATTTTTCATAGTACTTGGCCGGATACTTTCTGGACAGACCAGACCCTGTACACTTTCTACTTTACACAAGTACTTTCATTTGAATTTAAAAGTATATATTTATGAATCAAAATGAATAAATATATTTCTATTTTTTAAAAAAGGAAAAAAGTTTATGGAAAAGATAGCAAACAAGTTCCCTTAATCCACTGATATTTTTAAAGACTTCTCTTTCTAAAATTTCAAAATAAAAATATTTCAAACATACAGGAATGTAGAGATTAACTGACACCCATGTGTATACTGCTTAAATTTAATAAATATTAACATTATGCTATAATTATTTTAGATATATTAAAAGTAATTGTTAGAAATATTTGAAGCTCCAGACTTTCCCTGATAATTTTATTTCCTTCCTTTACTACTAACAGACAAAACACTATCCTAAAAGTGAGTATACCCAACATATATATTTATACTTTTACAGTAACTGTACATATTCATAAACAACATTGTTTCTTTGGATACAAATTTACATATATGGCATGTTATATTAATATCTTACACCTTGCTGTTTAAGTAAAAACTTATGTTTTACATGTTTATTTGGGTTGATATATGTAAAAAACAACAACTCATTTTTGTTGATGCTGAGTGTGTCAGGTATTGTTCTGTGACTCACTTCCTCTTTATAAAACTCCTAAGAGGTAAGTACTATTGTTCCCATTTTACAAATGAACAAATAGTGACCCAGTGGTTGGTTCATCATTTGCCCTGAGTCACACAGCTGGCCAAATGGAGAGGCTGAGATCCAAACCCAGAAGCTTAGATCAGAAATCCATGGTCCTTGGCACTACAATTCTGTCAAGGAAATTATTTAAAAGGTACCTAGCGATCCTATTATGAATTTCTTACAACTTACCCAATGCCCTATTTTAGTTATTTCCCAAAGTTTGTTAATAGAAACAGGGCCGCAAATACCATTTTTGTGCCTGTCTCTTGTGCAGATGTATAAAAATTTCTTGAAGGTATACATACTTTCAATTTCATCAACAAACACCAAATTGCAAAGTGAAACAATTTATATTCAACACTCCCACCAAAAGTGCAATCTCCCAATGTTCATTTCCCCACATTCCAATGTAAACTGGGAACAGCCATAGTTTTGACTTTTGCCAACCTGAAGGGTATGAAATAGTGACTTGTTCTCCCTTTATTATGGAAGTGGCTGAACTTTTGTTTTTCATAGTTCAGGTTTCTCTGTAAACTGCCCATTCATGTTTTTATGCACATTATTCAATTGGGGTGATTTATCTTTTTTCTTATTGATTTGTAGGAGTTCTTTATATATCTTTATACTCAAACTTTGTTAATTATGTGCAATAACAGTCTTCTCTCAGTTGTCACTGCCATGCCATTTCATTTATGGTATTTTGTGTCAGTTTTTAATTTTAGTGTTGTCAAATTTTCCTCTTTTTTTGATATATGTTTTTGTGTCCTATTTAATACAACCTTCCTAATGCTGATGTCATGAATACATTTTAAAATTTGATTCCCCACTTAATCTTTAATCATTATAGAACAGACTAAATCAAATTATTTTCCATATGGCTAGCCCAATACACTTTACCTTTGTTATAATTTTATATTTATAACTTAATAAGGGTAGCTGACTCAAATGGTTGAAATTTAAAAGGCATAAAAGGGTGTACAATCAGAAATCTCCCTCCCATCCCTATCCCTAAGCCATTGACTTCATTTTCCCAGAAGGAATCTAGAACTAGAACTATTTCCAGTTTCTTAAGTAATCTTCTGGAGATCATTGATGCATATTCAAACAAAAATACACACACTGGTGACCAACTCCCTTGTTCTTTTTCTTCTTCCAGAAATGAGAGTCTACCACATGTGCTATTCTGCATCTTGCTTTCTCACTTAGCTTTATAACTGAGGGATCATACCACAGAATATACAAATAGTCTCTGTTTTCTTTAATGGCTAAACAGTATTTCACTGCATGGCTGTTAACCATTCCCTTACTGGTAACATTTAGATTATTCTTAGTCTTACTCCACACAAGGCTTGTATAGTACAAGCACTGAATTCGGAATTTTGTTGGAATGCTTTACCGACCCCTTTGAAAGTTAAACCACTTACTATCTCTCCACCATTATGTGAGTGTCCATTTTTCCCACACTCTCATGTATACCTTTGTGTTAGAACACCTTTAGAACATTGTTTTTAATTTTATCAAAGTTTTATAGTCATCTATTTTTTAAATTTATATATAGTAGGTCCTCAAATAATTTTGTTTCACTATAACATTGATGAAATGCCCTAGGAACTTAACTCTTGTTTACGTCAACTAGTCTAAGGTAAAACTGATTTCATTATACTTCATTTCACTTAAAGTCACAGAACCTAGGAACATTAAGTGAGGACTTACTCTAGTTCTTTGTGGCTTAGTAACAAAACAGCATGTTATCCCATGTTATCTCTTCACCTCTTCCCACCCATTTTGCACTCGTGGAAACCAAACATTTTCAACTTTTCTAAGCTGATTTGCTTCATGTTTACCTCATTATTTCTAAATAATATGTTTATGTTGACATTTTTAGTTTTTCAATTTTAGGCTTTAACTATTGACTTCACACTGTGGAAGATGAGGATTTAACTCATCATTTAATACCCCCACTATCCTTTCCCCAACAGAAGTATTTCTATCCTTACATCCTCCCAATATAGTTATAGTATAGTATGTTTATTTTATTTATTTTTTAAAAAATATATTATTGTTTTAGAGAGGGGAAGGGAGGGAGAAAGAGAGGGAGAGAGACATCAATGTGGGGTTGCCTCTCACATGTCCCGTACTGGGGACCTGACCCACAACCCAGGCACGTGCCTGGACTGGGAAGCAAACTAGTGACCCTTTGGTTCACAGGCACGCGCTCAATCCACTGAGCCACACCAGCCAGAGCTTGTTTAAATCAGTATTCAATGTTTGTATTATGATGACTAAGTAAACTCCACACATGGATCTCACTGTTATTTTTTTTTGCTTTTCTCAACTCCGCATCCCCATCCCGCAGGACACAGGCGAAGTTCGATTACCTCTGGGAAAAGAGTGGAAGCAAATCCCTCTGCCTCTGCAGGATGTGTAAGAAACATTTTCCTTGCCCCACCAGACAAAGATCCACTGATGCTGAGGAAAGGTCAAAACTCTAAGAAAGCTTCATCGTTAAGGTTTAGCAACACAGGAGCCTACCCTAAGGACAAAAGACATTCCCTCCTCCACTCTCTACCTGCCCCCCACCAAGAGTAACATGCAATAGCAGGCTACCTCTGGGGAAAGTGCAAAAGTATAGAAAGAGATCCCTACTGTGGTGCAGGCATGAATGCAATGAAAGCTGAAAGCTGAGGGGGTTAGCAGAAACAGAGAAAAACCCTTCTGTATACAATACCCGACCCCCAAGCACAATGTAACATCAGGCCATCACCAAACAAGTCTGAAACTTGTGATGCATCCAATGCACAGACCCAAACATTAAACAAAGCCCAAGCCCTATTCAATTCTTAACCAGACTGATTCACAAGCCCTCGACACTAACAACAGTCTAAGAGAAGAGACACACCCATTTTTAGGTATGTGTGGGTGTATGTGTGTGTATATGTATATGAAATATATGTATATATATTTCAAATCTCAGTCTGCTAGTCTAACAAATTATAATAGCATAAACGATAAAATATAATTAAACAAAGAAACACACATGTTTAATATATTGTAGTTAAACTGTTTAAAACCAAAGGCAAGGGAAAAAGCCTTAAAAGAAACCATGAAAAAAATTACACACAGTGGACCAAAGATAAGAATTGTGAATGTAAGCCAGAAGATAAGGAAGCGATATCCATAAAAAGGAAAAAAAAAAAGTCAACCCAGAATTCTATATCCAGTAAAAACACCTTTGAAAAATGAAGGCAAAGGATTTTTCAGATAAACA